ACTTTAGGCTCTTATGGTCGGTAAAGATCTCACACTTGCCTCCATAGAGGTAGTGCCGCCAAATCTTCAAGGCGTGGACAACAACAGCTAACTTGAGATCATGAGTGGGGTAGTTCTTCTCGTGAGGCTTCAGCTGCCTCGAAGCATAGGCTACGACTTTCCCCTGCTGCATATGGGCACATCCCAAACCCATCTTCGAAGCATCACTATAGATGGTGAACTCCAAAGTAGGATCAGGAATGGATAAAACAGGCGCGGTAGTGAGTCTCCTCTTCAACTCCTGGAAACTCTTCTCGCACTGAGGACTCCAATCGAACCTCACGGCCTTCTTCGTAAGGTTGGTCAGTGGCTGGGCTACTTTCGAGAAGCCCTCGATAAACCTCCTGTAGTATCCTGCTAACCCCAAGAAACTACGAACATCCGCGACACTTCTTGGTGTATCCCATTTTCTCACCGCCTCAATCTTGCTCGGATCCACCTCAATGCCTCGAGCTGTCACAATGTGGCCAAGGAATGCCACGCGGTTCAGCCAGAATTCGCACTTCGAGAACTTAGCATACAACTTCTCGCGGCGAAGAGTCTCCAGCACAATCCTCAGATGTTCCTTGTGCTGGTCGATATCTCGGGAATAGAACAGAATGTCGTCGATGAACACAATGACGAACTGGTCCAGGAAGGGATGAAAGACCCTATTCATAAGGTCCATGAAAACGGCTGTGGCATTGTTGAGTCCGAAAGGCATGACTACGAACTCATAATGGCCATAGCGGGTACGAAAAGCAGTCTTGGAAATATCCGACTCTCGGATCTTCAGCTGATGATAGCCAGAACGCAAGTCGATCTTTGAGAAGAAGCTGGCTCCTCTCAGCTGGTCGAAAAGGTCCTCAATACGGGAAAGGGGGTACTTGTTCTTGACTGTAAGGGCATTCAACTCCCGATAGTCAATGCACATACGCATAGATCTGTCTTTCTTTTTCACGAATAGGACGGGCACACCCCACAGCGAAACACTCGGACGAATAAAACCATGTTTGAGCAACTCCTGGATCTGGGCCTTGAGCTCTTGAAGCTCCTTCGGCGCCATACGGTAAGGGGCCTTAGAAACGGGGCCGGCTCCGGGAATTAGATCAATGGTGAACTTCACCTGGCCGTCTGGCGGTCCTCCAGGTAAGTCATCAGGAAAGACGTCGAGGTACTCGCAAACAATAGATACACTCTCGGGCACCCGCTCATTAACAACGTCGGATACCATAGAAACAAGATAGCCTTGACAGCTAACCTTGGAAAGGCTCTTCCTAGCTTGCATAGAAGAGATGACCCGAGGCACAGTCCTCGAACTCACCCCAAAGAACACAACAGGCTGATCGGAAACGGGATAGAGGGTGACTTCACGCTCCTGGCACCGGATGTCGGCTCGGTAACGGGTGAGCCAGTCCATGCCCAAGATTACGTCAAAGTCTCGCATATCAATTACATAAACGTCGGCCTCCAGAACTCGACCACCAATACAGATAGGAAGATTGCGAACCACTGAATCAGAGATAATAATTTTTCCCGAGGCCAAGCTAACCTCGAGAGGATCACAAGCATACACGGTGCTAATAGATAAGGACTCCAAACAACAAGATGAGATAAATGAATGGGTAGCACCGGTATCACATAAAGCAAAAACAGGCACATGGGATATCGAAAGCATTCCGGACATGGTACCTGCATTGCGAATGGCCTCATCATGGGTGATGGTGTAGACACGGGCCTGACCCCCAGTCCTCTGCTGGAATGGTGGGGGCTGCTGCTGCTGATGAGGAGGTGGTTGGGGAAGCTTTTGCTGCTGCTGAGGGTAGGGCGGTTGTTGCTGTTGCTGTCTCTTCGGCTCACGGCAGACATTGGCATAGTGTCCCGGACGGTTGCAGTTGAAGCAGTTGCGTTGGTTAGCTAAGCACTCGCCACTGTGGGATTGGCCGCATTTCGGGCAGGTTTGGCCAGTGGAGGACCGGTTGTCGCGTCTATCGAAATTCCCCTTCTTTCCTTTCTTCTTGTTCTGAATGTCGGACTTCCTCTTGCCTGAACTAGAGCCGGGCAGCACGGATGAGATGGGCTGAGCGTGCTGGACAACAGCCTGAGAAGACTGGGAGACATGATAACAGGAAGGGACTGGGGCTATTGGAATGAGACAGCTCTCTACCTCCTGAACCCGACTAACAGTATCTGCGAAAGACATCAGTCCGTGACTTCCCACCAGTTCACGGATCCTCTGGTTGAGCCCCTTGAGAAATTTGCAGGCCTTCTTGGCATCGGTGTTCACTGCGTCGCCCGCAAAAAGGCACATGCGGGTGAAAGTGCGGATATACTCATCCACGGTGGAGCTGCCCTGCTGCAAGTGGTAGAACTCATGCTCCATTCTGTCCCAAAAGCTCTGGGGAAGGAACTTGTTGCACACCATCACTTTCATCTGCTCCCAAGTAAGAGCATGAAGCTCCGCCTCTGGCCTCCGGGCCCAGTGGTCAATCCACCAGACAGAGGCGTCCTCCTTCATCTGATAAGCTGCAAGAGATACCCGCTGATGGTCCGGGAGGGGGAGTACCACAAAAATCTTATCCAGCTCTTTCATCCATTCCAGCACCGCTGTGGGGTTCTCAGTCCCCGCAAAAGCTGAGTGAGGTCCATGGCCAGAGGAGCCTGGTGCTGACGGGGCGGAGAAGGTTGCGGGGATGCCTGACGGTTACGGTTGCTGCGAGTATTCATGATTCTACATTGAATAATCCGAACAAGGTTAGCACAAAACAAACAAGATAATCATAATTACAGAAGTCTAGAGTTCGCCAATAAACACTAGAGTTCGATTAAATCAAGGTGGATAGATCCTAAGCCCCAAAAATGAACAATTACACCACAAGTAGTCTCTTTACCACATGTGCATCATTTACATATCAAGTATTTTCATTAATACTTAAAACAAAACATACCTCAAGCAGCGCGGAGTGAAGGAGATGAGTGGTCATAACCTTGAAACATACCTCAAGCAGCGGAGTGAAGGAGACGAGTGGTCATAACACAAGGTCTAAACACATAATCACATATGCGCTAGTCTACAGAAACACAGACTGGCTCTGATACCAAACTGTAACACCCCACTTTGATTTTACAGAAATTCTGGACTTTCCAAAAATCAGTACAAGTTTTTCGAGATCATTTTCGAAATTTAATGGGTGTTAAACAATATTTTTCATAACCCAAGTCTTATCTGGGCCCACGGGGATTCATTACCCGGTTTTCACAAATGGTTTTCATTAACCAAAACATATCATACGAGACTTAATACTCAACATGAATAATCAAACCACATCATCATAACCAATAATCGAGGGTTCCACAAGTTTCCTAAAAACAAACATGTCATAAGTTTTGGAGAAAGTTTTAAATGAGTCTCCACATAAAGGTCCATAAAAGCCTTATTTATTCTACGAAAGCATAAAATGCATAACGAAATGACCGACCCACTCGCCTCTTCCCATCACCCAGCTCATGCTTATCCTGCATCGGTGAAGAGCAGGTGGGGATGAGCACAAGATGAAAAGAGATCTCACCACTATGCACATATATCACGATATAAATAATGAAGAGAAGGTATGGTTAGAGTATGAACATAAAACAATTAATCTGTCACGTCTCCCAATCACATCACAACATAATACCCACGTGTACACATCTTTCATTAGCCAAGGAAAGGGGATTCATTACCCTAACTCATGGGGGTACGTGCCATTCGACAAGGCACGACATTTCATTAGGTCTTACGGAGACTTACCTCGCAGGTAACCGTATTACATCGACGGGGACAACCGACGGCCGAACCGGATCACGCTGATAGGCTACATGGTTTATGTACATACTAAAATCATACCAAGTCAACATTATGATAAACACATATGGCTTAGCAAATTTTACAATTACAACCCACCTGGATAGCTCGGTAGAAAATTGCACACAAGAGCAAGTACGTAGGATGATGCTCGACTCCTCAAACACCTACATTTAAGCGAGATAATTTATCAATAATTTATCTCACTACTCAAATTTAACATAAAACCCATACTTAATAAAAATTAAGTCTTAAGGGTTTTAATCGGATTTTTCGTGGACTTGGAACTCTCTCATTTTTTGAAAAAAATAAGACTCGGAGGATAAAATTTGGAGTATCGGGACTTAAATAATTTTTCCCAAAATTTTATCATTTTAAAAATATTTTTAAAATTGAAATCGGTACGAAAAACAGCTCCTAGAACTCAAAATTGGCTAAAAACTGAACTGGGCCGAAGCTGAAATTTCAGCCCCACAATTTGGGCCTGAACATGCGAAATGGGCCGCAGCTAAGGAGGTTTAATGGCCCAAGACTTGGCCGGCTAAGGGTGCGGGCCTTTGGGCTGTTCACGGGCTGAATCTGCTGAGAAAGGCGGGCCGCGCGCGGGCCTCATGCGGGTTTCACAGCCCGCGTGCTGGATACCACAAAGAAAAAGAAAAAATGGCCCTCACAGGATTCGAACACGGGACATGACGCCAAGAGTAGAGCAAATAAACCACTGCGCCACACGCTTCATTCGATCTTTAAAATGCATTCATATTTCTTTAAAACATATGATGACATGGACTAAAAAGCATACAGAACAAAGGAACTACAGAGCTGCGAACAGATAAATAAGAGAACAAAAGCGGGATATTTACAGAGGCTCGAAACAATTGAACAGAAGCTGCAAATCAACGACCCAATATCGACGACAATGCTCGAGCAGGTAACAGGTCCGGGGATTTAATTAAACAATTAAATTTCAGAGTTTCGAAACATTTTAAAAACGGGTTTTATTTTATCGAAACACGAAGAGTCGAAACATAGCTTGAAAACAAGTGAACAAAACGACCCCAAAATAAAATTACAACGAGACTCCTAAACGACATAACAGAATTCTGAATTAACACGATATAGCCACAGCAACGTCGTGAATCGATTTCTTATAAAACGAGAGTTCCGATTATCCCCGAAATTCACGAACAACGCAATGAAATAAATAACGAATATAACGAATAAACAAATAAACCAAATTCAAAACCCAACGAAACGATTCAACGCGAACAAAAATAATCGAACGATATCATTCTGAATAGCAATTTACGAGGAGTTTTCGAAAAGGTTACCCTTCTTCGGGAAATTTACGAGAAATCGGTAAACGGGTCGGAAAGAGACGGACTGAACGGACTGTCAACGGGACTCGAAACTCTGAACACTGGGACCGCTCGCGAACAGCTACTCGCTGGAGTATACGTCGGCGACGGCGGGGCTGCTCGGAGGTGCACGCTGGAATTAATGGTGGGAGAACGGAGCTTCGTCAATGGTGGACTGCAGATGGTAATGAACGACTTCTACTGCACGACTGAGAGGGTTTCTCGGAGAGACGCCGACGTGGGTGAAGTTCGCCGGAATCAATGGCGACTGAAACTTGCAGGTTGGGGATCCTTTTTTTTTTTAATTGCATGTATGCGATTTTAGAGATGAACTGAGGGGATCGATAAACTCTGATGCTCCAACGATATAAAGGGACCAGAAAGGGGGAGAACGTGCGAGATCACTCACCTGAGGAATCGGAACTGAATTTCGAACTTGCAGATGTGGGAGGACTCAGTCAGTTCACGCGAAGAAGAAGAAAGTTAATGCCTTGGGCTGGAAATTAATTAGGCCATGAATAATAATCACAATGGGCCAAATTGTGATTTCAAGTTGGGCTAGAGAACTAATACAAGTTGGGCTGGGAACAAATTAAAAAGGCTAAAATTTTAAAGTACAAACGGGCTAGAAATAAATTGCAATTGGCCGAGAATTAAAATTGAGAAATATTGAACGATACGATTGACGACGAGTAAAAATACATTATACGACTTAATATATTAATTAGACAAGAACATCTAATTAATTATAATAAGTCCAAACGCGATATGTCGAGCAATATCGGAATATGCGCAATTAAATAAAATAACATGCAGTAATTCACATAATAATGCCAATAAATAATATTCGAAAAATCTAATATTCGAACGGGGCGTTACAGTCCACATCACCGATATCAAGGGCAGAAAGGTCGATTTCTCCTCCGTACACGACGCCGCCATCGACGGCGACGCCGCCCCCTGCGTCAGATCCGTTGAGGAACTCCCATACAACAACTCTGTCAACCAGATTTACCACATTCCCACCTCGCTGAAAACGGAGGCTCTGATCTCCTCGACGTCTGATCTAAACCTTACATTTCTTATGGAAAGCCAGGTGCACGACGTCTTCAGAAATTTTTCTTCTTCCCTATGATGACAGACAACTACATAACTAAGGTCTATGAAATTTGTCTTCTTTCCCCATGAGTGAGCTTTCCCCCATGAGTGTGCTGCTTCATCCACATTAGTTTATTCTTTTCTTTTTAATTAATAAATAAATGAAATCAAGGAATTTTTTTACACTGTGATTGTTAAAGATAGTTTGTGGTGGATTTAGTTTTAATATTGTGAAGTCTGCTTTTGATTAACTATGCAAAATATTTTCTGAAGAGTAAGCTATTTTAGTTTTATCAATTTGAATTCTTGAAAAAACTAAAAAATAAGAGTTCTAGAGCTAAAGATAATCAGTTGTGTTTTCTTTCTAACACATTATTCATCTTAGGTTCTTTGTGCTTCATTTTAATTTCACTTTTTCAGTTTTTAATTTTGTTTCTAAGTTAATATACATTTTTTCCATCAAAAGAAATATTGAATTTTGAATTATTGCATGTATAATTCCTTATCTGTCTAGCCTGAGAAATTGTGAACCACATCTGTACGGGCTGCCAATTTATCTATCCAATTTATTTACTTCAAACGTACAATTTTCATATATAGATTGTTTATTACTTGAAAATACTATATCTGTGGATGTTGATGATATGTTTTCTATATTATGCAATTATACAATATTTATTCATAAATGGTCACAAATGATTGAATAATGGTTTATCCTATCTGCTAATATTAATCACAAAAGCATCCTCAAACAACCACCTAAGTAACACAAAGAAGAAGATTTCGAGTTGCAGTCTTTTGAGTTGAAATTTTGCCTTTTGAGTTGAACGTTTGCCTTTGGTTATGTGGTTTCTTACGATTACTTACGTGTGTATTTTTTTGTTATAATTCTAGCAGCATCGAAGGACAACAAGACACAACTCATCATCTGTCTAAGGAGTCGCAAGGTTTTCTCTATGTTCATTTTGGTTTTGTTTTTGTTTTCTCCTCATATAATTTTATTATCATTGTCTTTATGTGCTTCTGTTCTTTTCTCTTTTTGGTTTATTTTTAAAAATTAACTAAATTTCAATTTGTTTTTGTTGGCTTATATTAGAAGTGGTGAGGCATTTTTTTTTTTTTTTTCTTTGTGCTTTTGTTTGGCTATTTCAAACTTAATTTTCTTTTGGTTGAAGCCTTTCTGTTTTTTTGGTTTCTTGTGATTACTTCTGTTTTTATTATTTTAATTATAATTTCTTTGATAATTTTCGATGTGACCTAAGAATTTTCCTATTGCTTCATTGCAACAAAGTATCATAATTGGTTGCTTGATTCCGCTGTAAAATTTTTAAGGTTACATTGTTGGAATTGAACTTAGATGAGGCTTCTTTGCAACCAATTATGCGACTTCTTTTTTATTATGTACCAACTCCAAATATTCATTTTTTCCTTTAGAAGACTCCATTTAGATAGTCATTTATTGTTGGTGTTTTATTTTATTTTATTATTCCTTTAGAGAACAACATTTAGATAATCATTTATGGTTGGTGTTTTATTTAATTTTATTTTTCTGGGAGCATTCTATTTAGTTACTGTACCTTATATACTTATGTCTTAGTTTTATATCAATTACCAACATATGTCTTCAATAATAATTTTGCTGCTTTCAGCCCATCCTTCAAATTTTTGGGCCACAAGTAACAATTAACAATTCAACATTAAGGAACCAAGACTGTGACATCGGAGACGGATTGAGGTCGTATTATTAGTTACATTTTGTTTGATAGTTCGGATCTGAAGTTTAATGTTACTGTACAATTGGTTGTAGATGTTTGTCTTTTTTAGATATATTTTTGTCGAATAATTATTTATGGATTGGACATTGATTAGTGTTGCGCATCTTGGACTTTATTTTGTTAGGATTATAGGTTAGTATGTATATTGTTGTTACCCTAATGGTTTGGTTGTCGTACTTTTACATGTGTGTTGAAATTTAAAGTGTGTTGAAGTGTTGCCTGTTGAACTTATGAGGATTTATAAGCAATTGCATGGACATATTATGGATGTGTTAGTATTGTCTGCATTTTAAGTCCAGTATCTGTTCTTATTATGTAACTAAAGTCGCGTTTCAGCGGACACGTGTTGCTGTATGTAAGGTCATTATGGGTTGTATGGCTTAAAAGGAAATACTGTACGAACCTTATCGTTTTAATTGAAAATTACAGAGCTTGAGCTCACTGAAAATGGCGATCTGATTTTTCCTTCATTTTCCTTCAGTTTTCATATTATTTGATAATCTGCTCAAATTTACATGGTATCAGAGCGGGTTAGAAGATGGCACACCATAACAATGAACAGAACCGCGAGATCGTTGGAAGAGGCATCTACACTCGCGACGTAGATCCACTTTCTCTTCATGGATCTGACAGTCCAGGTTTGGTCCTGGTCACAAATCAGCTCACAGTATCAAACTACTTACACTGGAGCCGTGCGATGAAGCTTGCTCTCAGCGCGAAATCGAAACTTGGATTCATCAATGGCACTGTGGAAATTCCAGAACACGGCTCAGAGGAGTACAATCAATATCACAAGGTAGAATCCATGGTAATCTCTTGGCTGCTTAACTCTATTTCTAAAGATATCGTGGAAGCTTTTACCTATGTTAAGAATGTTAAGCAACTGTGGGATGAGCTAGCCGAACGATATGGTGAAAGCAATGGGCCTCTTAGGTACCAATTACAGAAAGAGATTGCAAATTTTACACAGGGAAGTCTCACAGTCACTGCGTATTTTACCAAACTCAAATGCCTTTGGGATGAGTATTCATGTTTAGTATCTATACTAGATTGTGTTTGTGGTTCTGGGAAGAAATTTTGTGAGGTTGTCATGGAAATTAAGCTGATGCAGTTTTTGATGGGTTTAAATGAAGTCTTTGAACCAGTAAAGAACCAAATCTTACTACTGGAACCACTGCCCTCTATAAATAGGGCATACTCCATGATTTTGAAAGTTGAAAGGCAGAAAAGTGTGCGTATGAAAATGTCAACACAAGTTGAAACTTCAGCTATGTCAGTCAGAGGAAATTATGGCAGAGGTAATGCTGGTAGATCACAAGTCTTTGGCAGAGGCAATGGTGGTAGAAGTTTCACAACACAAAGTTTCAACAGTGGCAGAGGACGAGGTGGCCAAAGATTATCTAAGGAAGAGAGAGCAAAGCTGTTTTGCACATACTGTGGTTATAATGGACATGAAGTCCAGGGTTGCTTCAAGTTGAATGGATACCCAGATTGGTTTAAGGAGCTAAGAGAGCAAAGACAAGCACAAAGTGTGAATATGGCTGACAATGATGACTCCTCAAAAGGTGATTCAGAGTACAGGTCTCAGCACAGTGATACACTACCTGATATAAGTTCTTTAATTCAAAAGGAAGTTGCAAAGTATATGGCTGGGAAACATGAGACAGAAACAAACACATACTCCCATTTTGTTGAGTATTCAAGTGACAAGGAAGATTATGCATTCTCTCTAGCTGGCAAAATCAACAAGAGTAGTTGGATTGTGGATACAGGTGCCAGCAAGCACATCTGCTGTGAGCCTGAAATGCTAAGTAAGAAAAGTTGTTCCCAATTTCCTATTGTTGTAAATCTCCCTGATGGCACAAAAATGAAAGTCACACAAGTTGGTGAGGTACAGTTCAATGACATGATCACTCTGAAAGATGTCTTACTGATACCTGCATTCAAGTACAATCTCTTATCAGTGGGGCAGCTTGTGGAAAATAATGGGATGTCTTTTGTCTTCACTGAAAAGGATTGCAAGCTGAGAGATACCAAAACAAACACTGATATAGCTTTTGGAAAGGCAGTGGCTGGTCTATATGTAATTGAGGCACAAGGGGTATCTGTCAATGCTGTTGATAAGCAAACCACAGATGAAGAATTGATTCTTTGGCACAAAAGGCTTGGTCACACCTCAATTCAGTGCTTAAAGCACTTACACTTCCTGAGAAGCAAGAACTTTAATGAGTCATTGAGTCCATGTGATATATGTCACAGGTCAAAGCAAACCAGACTACCTTTTCCACTCAGCCAAATACAAACCAAGCACAAATTTGAATTGAT